CTCTCCCTTGGGGCTGCTCTCCCTGGGGATGCTCTCCTTGGGGATTCTCTCCCTTGGGGCTGCTCTCCCTGGGGCTGCTCTCCCTGGGGCTGCTCTCCTTGGGGATTCTCTCCCTTGGGGCTGCTCTCCCTGGGGCTGCTCTCCCTGGGGATGCTCTCCCTGGGGCTGCTCTCCCTGGGGATTCTCTCCCTTGGGGCTGCTCTCCCTGGGCTGTCCAGCAGCTCCCCTACCTCGATCTGTGCCGTGTGCTTGGCGTAGAACTCCAGCGCCTCGTCCCCCTCGATCTGACCCCCTGGCTTCAGCATGTTCTGCAGCTCTTTGTTGTGACGAGCCAACTAAAATAAAGGAATGCACAGGGAGTGGGAGACACCAGATGTCTCTCTGTGATATTAAATTCCTGATTTTTGGCATAAAAAAAGAAATAGTACGCAGTCAGCTGCTAGGAAAGGGCAAAGTTGACAGAAGGCTTGTTCTGTTCCAACCAGACACCCTGCAGCTCTATTTTGGGAGCAAGTCAGAATGATTCAAATATGTATTTCTTTAATGCCAGTGTTGTACTCCTCTTTTCCCCATCCTCTCCCACCCTCTGCCTGGAATCTTTCTGATCACACAGAAATTCACATTCGGTCTGTCCTTCTACACCACCCTAACTCAAAGGTGTGCTCATCACCCAAGGATCCAGGCAGGGACAAAGAGAAAATCTGCATCAACTGAGCAGCAGATGCACAGAGCACTGCTCCAAAAATGCTGCTGGATGCTCCCAAATTCATCCTGCAGCACATGAGGGTCTGTGTGCTCAGATGCTGGAGGAACAAAAAGTCTCCAATGCAGTGAGTGGTGTAGCACCAATATATTATTAAATAGATTTAGACACGTTTTTCTCCCCTTTGTTTTTTTACCTTTCAAACACATATTGTTATCAATACAATGGCTCTGCTTGGCCCCAGCAGAGAGAGAATGTGGCAAGGACTGAGATTTCTGATTACACTGTAATTGATCTGTGAGTAGAATTTCTCTGGGAGTATAAAGTAACCTTTGATACAGCTGAAAAATAATACAGTGCTGCTCAGTGCTGCCAAGCATTGAGCCACGTGTCCTCAGGAACTCAGTCCAGAGCCTGCCTGCTTCCCACTATAAAAGAAAATTTCCAAAATTTTCTTGCATTATACTATTTTTGTTTCTGATTCAAATTAGGATTTGCTCTGATAACAAGGGAACGTGCAGTGATTCAGTCTCAGAGATGAGCCATGAAAACAGTTCCAGGGAGAAGCAGACTCTGGCTTTTCCCAGTCTGTGACTTGTGAAACTCTACCTGATGAGCCAAGATATAAATGTTGTGTCCCACGTTCCGCGGAGATGCCGCCACATCCTCCCCGTTCTCTCCATCCTCAAACTCCACTTCTCCCTGCAGATAAGCCTTCTTGATCACTTCCACCTGCAGAAGGACACAGAGGCAAGGAGAGGAGGCTCAGGAAGGGTGGAAGCTGCTGAGGGCACTCCCAGGGATGGCAATGGTAGAGGAACAGGGACATTCAAAGGGAGGGCAGTGGGGTTCCCAAAATCCAGGATGAACTGAACTCAGCTTCAGCCCAGCTCACTGGGCACAACAAACTGAGCCTCACCTTTCCCTGAAGGTAACAAATTCCAGGCCACCCCCTCTGCATCTGTGCCATGTTCTGACCCCAGCTCCAATGCAGCCCTGAGCACTGGGACAAGTCAGTGGTGCTTCAGCTGTACCTGGGATCTCCTGCTTGTGTTTTCACCCCTTCATACATTAACCAGCCCCAAAACCCTGCCATGGCTTACTGGGCAGCTCTTGGGACACAAGGAATTTTCATTTCTCTGTCTCCTGTGCAGATAAAGAGCCAGGAGCTCAGGAATGATCCCAGGACTCACCAGCTCTTTGGGTCTCATGTTGTAGAGGATCCTCTCAGCATTCTCACTGTCGTGCCTGCTCTCCATGATGGCCAAGAGCAGCTTGGAAGCATTGTTCTGAGGGGAGGGAAAAGCAATGGAATCACTGCCAGGAGCCAAAAAATGAGGGTAGCCAGCTTGAAGGGCTTCAGGGACATGGGTCCCACAGGCAGCAGCCCCTGCAGGCAGATTGTGCCAGCCTGACCAGGGCTCTCACAGCCTCCCTTCACCAAGCCGTCCCTCTCCTCTAATTAATGACCTGCACAACTCAACAAATTTTTTTAGCAGTTTATTCCCCAAATCCTACTCATTGAGAGCCATCAAATTAACCCCAGCCAAGGTTGAAATTTCTAGAAATGCTGCTGTTTCATGCTCGTGTTGTTTCGGTTTGGTTTCAAGATACTGCAGCATCACCACAAGCTCTGAGCTCCCAAATGGAGCAGCTCAGCTCTGCTGAAGATGCTGCTGATTAAATCAAGGGACAGCCAGGGCTGAAGACAGACGTGCTTTGCTGCTTTTAACTGAAATCACTCTGCAGTCTGCTCACGCCGAGGAACACAGGGAGGAAATGGGAAACTACCACAAGGCACCAGACTACTTTAATACGAACAATTAAGATTAAAATCCATCATGCCTGACAATAAAACCCAATAAAAGTATTTAATTTTGAAGTATAATGCTAATCGAGTCTAAAAGCATTTTTTATTTACAATAATAAAAAACCCACATTACCCATAATAATGGTGTGAGTCGGCAACGGAAAACAAGGAGACACTGCAGTGTCAGTCAGGGCAATAAGTCAGAAAGGAAATATTTCTCAAGCACAGGCTGAAGCAAGAGAGCTCTGGGACTGCTGTTGCTCGAGGGGAACCTGTTCCTGTGTTTTTGTGTTTTGAAACCAGCACCAGGGCTAATTATTTCAGCATTAATATGGACAGCCCTAAAGAATTGTGGATGATTTAATGTCAACCGATTAAACAACACCAATAAAGCGTTAGGAAAGTGGTTGCAACACAAGAAATTTCACTTCTGTTGTCCACGCAAAAGCTCAGCAACAGCAGAACAGTTCTCAGCAGCTTTAAATTTTTTACAGGAAGTCGTTTTAGGATTCCTCAGCATATTCTGACTGCCCGCATTCCCCATCTGAGAACTGGTGGCTCCACGTCATCATTTAAAAGATGAAATACCTGTGACAAACAACCGTTGGGCACTGCCTGCAGCTCACTGATGTATATAATTTTTGGGCACTTATGAATATTGGGATTTAATAAACACCCACGTAATTCCAACAATAAAATTCTGCTTTATCTCACTGTTAATGTGCCTCACACGGAACATTCACTTGCCTTCAGCTCCAGCACGAGGTCCATCCTCTTCTTTCCCAGAGGGTTGATGTCATTGAGGATTAATGCTGTGATGATGTCAATGCCGTTGGACTCGTGAGTAGCAATGCAGTTCTGTCCAAAGAAAAGTCATCAGCCCTCACTAATTGCCTGCACAACAAACACAGCCCGGGCTGGTGACCCTGCCAGAGCAGCAGAGTCTCCTCTGTCATCACCTCGTGGGCTGCCCGAGATGGAGTAGTGCACAGAGAGCTCCAGGCAGTGCAACAATAAAAGATTAAGGCATTTTGTTCCAAGCTTTTCCTCTCCTCAGCCATGGTCCTACTGGAGCCCCCGGCCTCAGGAAGCACAGAGAAGCACAGCTGATAAATGAAGCATTTCCATGCCAAAGTGTGCAGGCTGGAGGAACAGTGTTTTACTGAGATTAGGGAGACTTTTCTTTATTATAAACGTGCCAATCAACACCTACTTCAGTGCTGTCTACACAAAGAATGGGAATTTCCATAACCTTCAGCCCTGCTTTTGGAATGGGCTGGAACTAAAATGTACAAACAGCAGCTTGCTGCCTTCAAAATCCAGAGAGAGCCCAGCTCTGTCACTGAACTCCACACCTGGAACACCTCAAGGGTTCAATTCCACCTGATCCAGAGAGCAGAGGGACACTGACAATTCTCCCTGGCATGCACAGCCTCACACATCCTCTTGCAGAAACAAGGAGGACAGGAAAGTCACATCCCAGTCTTTCAGGACAATATTATGGCTCAATTAATAAGGAAATAGAATAAGCAGAAACTGGCACAGGGTGCCCAGAGAAGCTGTGGCTGCCCCATCCTTGGAAGTGCTGGATGGGGCTTGGAGCAGCCTGGGACAGTGGGAGGTGTCCCTGCCATGGCAGGGGTGGCACTGGGTGATATTTTAAGGTCTCTCCCAACCCATTCTGGGATTATATGAAGTACAGAAATTCTCCCTGTCCAGTCTAATGGAACAGAACTTAGCAAAGCAGAAATATTTCCACTGCTTTGAGTGGTTCAACTCCTCAGAGGGGGCCCTGAGAAAGACAAGTTGATTATGAGGAATTTATAAACTTGTGGGGCAAGCAAAGTGGGCAGTGTTATAAGACAAGAGCAGTCCAGCAGAGCAGGGAGAAAGGGGGATGCATTTCCAGCTCTGGATTCATTACCTGGTTCTCATGGCAGGGCCCCTGACAGTACTCAGTCAAACTTTCCAGCGTCTGGTTGATCAGGGCCACGTTCTTCTCGTTTATATACAGACCCAGAAGTCCAAGGCCCCCAGTTGTGCTCCCACAGATGCAGTCCAGGAACTGCAGGGTCTCACACACCAGGTTGTAGTTTGTCTTGTTGTTCTGGCAGCGTAGGAAATTCTGTGAGGACAGTGTCAAAGCCATGAGAGAGGGGGAAAAACCATACCAAATGCTGTTTGGCTGACAGTATTTATAAAGTTCATCCATCCCCAATTCCACTGCATGGTGGATTGCTCTGGTTCACTGTACAAGCAGTTTTAGCCTCTTTCCAGGGCTTATTTGCTCTCCTGAGCAGCCTGTTGGCTTCGTGTTGTACAGCAATAAACAGAGTGCATCCCATAAACAGAGAGATCCATTAGAGCCTGACACACCCAGCACAACACAGGCACTCTGGGAAGCTCTCTGGAGCCTGGAGCTCCACTCCACCTGCTGCACCTCCCTGCCCAGCATCACTCCAGGTGATCACTCCCTCCTCCCAGACCTCTCTCCAAGGAGGGAGCAGCAATTCCCTAGCTGGGGTCTCACAGCAGGGAACAAGAGGGACCTGAGTGCACACCTTGAAAGAAAGTGCCTTAAAATGGAATTCTCTCCACTGCATTTCTTTCCACATTAATTACTGTGATTCCTGCTTGAAGCTGCTGATTAGGAGCAGCTCCTCTAATGAAAATCAGATTTGCCATTGTAGATTTAACAGCCTTGTGCTCTCCTATATTCCAAATTAAAAGGAGCACCAAAACCACCCAAAACTGAAGGACAGCTAATGAAAACCAATTTCCCAGTGACTCAGACGCTGTTTGCCAGTGCATTCCCAGCAGTGCTGCAAAGATTAGCAGCCACTACCACTTGCTTTTCCTTCAAGTTTCAGCAGCAAAACTCTTATTTTACTTAATTCTAGCAGGTAACAACAATTCCAGGGTGAAAAAGCCCTCAAAGGAACAGGAGCCATGGGAGTATGGAACCAGCAGGGTCCTTCCTGAGAGCAGCACTGGTCCCTGGCTGTCTCTGCCTGAGTCACACTAATGAGTCTTTTAAGGCAAACACAGAGAGAAATTGCAGATTCAATGGAAGGCAAAGCTAAAAAAGGAAAACGCTGTCTATGAATGCAGACTAAAGGTGACAGTGATTCAGCACATTTCAGCTGATTGCTCACTTGTCAGAATGTAAAAAAGGTTGATCCTACAGAAATTGGAGCTCGTGCCTTCCCTCCAGGAAAAAACGCAAAATGAAAGGATAACACCCAAAGTGAGGAAGCAAAATTCTCCCTGTCTGCAGCATAACATTTATTCTGATTACAGATAAGCTTGTACCTGAGCTGCCTGATCCTCAGTCAGTAAAGAGAGAAGAGGGATGAGGTACTAGAGGCAGAACATTGTTAAGCTAAAACAAGAGGAAGGAAAAAATTGTAGAAAACAAACTCCTGCTGCACTGTGAGAAACTGCCCCGGGGAGTGTCTGCTGCTGTCTCAGCCAGGACACAGTGAACTCCTCATTTTCAGTCACCCAGAATATCTCACAGGCTACAGAGTGGGAATTAACTCTTAAGTGCTGAGTGTGCCACCCCACTGCTCTCAGTGGGAATGAGCCCGAGCTGTGCACCCTCTGCCAGACCCTGCACCCGGAGTCAGCAGCCACAGCTGCCAGGACATGTGGGAAGTGTGCACCCACCCCTTCATCCCATCCTTGCAGTCATTTGGAGAAGGCACTGCAGCTCCTCCAGCCCCGTGGAGGGCTCTGGAACAGCATCCACACGGAGCAAACTGGGGCTGTATCTGGGAAGGGAAGGGCTGAGTGGTGCAGAGGGGACAGCGCTGCAGCTGCCTGAGCATCCCACAGACTTCCTCCTCCTCCTCCTCGTCCTCTGAGGCACAGCAGCTCCTCCAGCACTTCCCTGTGTTTTCACATCAGCTGCCAACAGCCTGGAGAGGCTCGGTGTGCCCAGCCCACACCTGCAGCAGGCAGGTGACCCCTGCTCACTCCCCACTCAAATCCAATGTGCAGCTCTGGGAGACACTCAGCTCCCTGCAGAGTCCTCTGGCACTGCTGCAGGGAGCTCATGTTCCAGCTGCAGACACCGAGATTTTGGAGGATCAGACACTTGTGCCTTCCCTTTGTGGCTGAGAGAGAAGGACAAACCTCGAGGCAGGCAGGCAGCAAGAGGATTACACCGGAAAAAAATCGTTCTATCTTTTTTTTTTTTTGGTTGTTGTTAAAAAAATAAACGCCTTTTCCTCTCAGAGCTGACTACAACTACCTGCTGTTTGGGAAATCTAATTGTTCAGGACGGGGAAGAGCTGAGGCCAAGTCTGTGCTCTGGCTGGAGTTCAAGTGTGCTCCTATAGCTGCGGGTGCCTCGCCAAAGGCAGCAGCGGATCCTGAGCGTGTGTGGCTTGGAATTGTGCCACGGGAACCGACACTGCCAGCGGCAGGAAAATCCTCTGACAAAACACACATCAAAGGGCTGCTTTTCTTTAAAGCGAGAGGAAGGCTGAGGGATGGAACCTGGGCACTCAGGGATGCTCCCAGAAGGTTTCCATGCTGTGATCCCAGCGCTGCCGGGGCATTCCCGCTTGGGGAAGAGATTTGGCAGCTCGGCAAAGCTCTCACAGGGTCCCACGCTCCTGCCGGCCAGGGAACAATGGGCAATCAAGGCAATTATTGCTCTTTATGAGGGCATTTAGCACATTGTACAGCGCCTCACCAGCTCCTCCATCCCAGCCCGGCAGCAGCGGCTGAAAAATCGTCTGAATTGCAGCCCCTTTGCAAGGGGGAAGCTGCTCTGGGCTCCCTGGAATTCTGCAAACACGTCCCAGGGCAGCACAGGATACAGAGGCTGTGCCAGGACCTTTGGACTCTGCCAGCTCCAGCCCCTGGCCCATCCTCTGCACATCCCCACAGGTGTTTGCACACATGGTGACAGATGCTGAGCCTTCTCCTCCTCCCCAGCCTGACCTCTCCCAGCTCCTCCTGCCTCTCCTTTGCCCATCAGATGCTGCAGTCCCCTTGGTCATCTCTGAGACTGCCTGCTGGACTCGGGAGCCCAGGACTGGAGCCAGAATTCCACACGGAGCCTGGGGAATCCACCTTGCTCAGGTGTTTCCCATCCCAATTCTCCACCCAAGGTAAAACTCCCTTGCTCCAGACCTCACCAGGGTCTCAGGGATGTAAGGGTGGGTGAAGGCCAGTCCTACCAGAAAGGGACAAGGTGAAGGTGGCACTGAGCTCCCTGACCTTCTCTGTGTCCTCTGTCACCATGGGCTGTGCCCATCCCACAGCAAAGCCACCTCTGCCTAAATCCTCCTGTGAGATACAACCTAGAAACCCTTCTCACTGCCCTCCATGTCCCTCAGCAGATTCACCTCCAGCTGAGGCTTTCCTGACTCCCTCACCACGTGTTCAACTCCAGGCACATGAACAGATCCAAGAGAATCCAGGAGAACCTGGTTATTGATAAGTTAAGCTTGAGGGCTGCTGGAACCAAAGTCTCAAAGCCTTCTTCATTTTCCTAGATGATTTTTCTTTCCCTCTCCTCTCAAAAGCAAATCAGTAACTTCACAGCACAGCATTTGCTTGCTTTCAACATATACTTTTAAAAAAATCCCAGGAAGTGTTGATCCCACCACCTTTTATGTACCTTTCAAAGACCACAGGATAACTGGATTTGCTCATATCAGCCCAGCAAGGTATAAGTACTCTTTTTTTCCCGGATTAACGTCAAAACCGAAGAGAATAATTGTTCACATAATCCATTTTAAAAGGCCTGGGATTAGGGATAACGGCGTGGCAGCAGCGCGTGCACAAGGCACCCTGAGCACAGGCAGTACCTGCAAATCCCGGTTGTGGTTCTCACAGAGCAGCTGCAGGAAGCGCAGGATGGGCTGCATGATGGAGATGACAGCGCTCATCTCCAGCTCATCCTTGCCCTTGTCTGCTGCAGCCTGGGCTCCCTCTCCTGCCGAGTAGTGCTCCTCGGGGTCGGCCTCTCTCCTGTACGTGTTGTACGCCTTGCGCGTGGCCGCCGACGCCTCCAGCAGCTGCTCCCGCACCTCCTCTGTGATCTGGGTCATGGGCTCCCTCACTGCAACACACGGGCACACACATCTCCTCAGGGAGCTGCATGGAGAGGGCCAGGGCATGGGGGAACAATGCCAGGCCCAGCTGTTGGGCAGCAGCTCTTTGGTGAGGATGTTTGGTGTAGGGGCGCACTCAGCACCAACCACAGCAGGGTTAGAAATTTGGGGGTTAACTGATTAATCCAGCACTAGCAGGAGTTATGGTAATAGGACCTGCTTGAGAACAGAATTAGGGTTTCTTCATTTATCGTTAGAGAAGGCACTGACCACAACCCACAGTCTGGGGTTGTTCCTACGGATCAGGTTTGGGCAGCTTGTCACGAGACAAGGCAGCAGAGTCTCAGCTCAGAATGACTTTTCCTCATTTCAATAGCACAACCTCACAAATGGATGAGGAGGGGATGAAGCTCTCGAAATCCCGAGCCAGGGCACCACTGGTCTCTGAACTTTGCTCTGTGGAACCAGAGATCAGAGCATTATTGCATCTACTGAAATGAGTTCCAAACACACTCCCTGATACTTCCGAAGGGAGTGACTGGGGATTACCTCTTTTCCTGTTGGGGACATCTCTGTCTGAGTCTTCATCTTTCTTTTTGTTTCCTAAGTCGCTGGTGTTGACTGTGACAGTTGCCTTGATTTCTTGCTGTGCCACTTTCATGCGATCATAAAAAACCTTAAAGAATTTCTCCGATTTCTTATCTTCTGTCAGTCGGCAGAAGAAGGAATGCTACAAGAGAAAAGGAACAGCATCTGTAGCTCCACACACACGTCTGAATCCAGACAATTCCACCTTTCTGCACTGGGTGGTATCCTGCAGGACCGGGAGCTTCGTTAGTTGCCAGTGAACTGAAATTCACAGCAATGGAAACTTGTAGTTTATTGTGAGGCAGCCCCAGTGTCTCAGCTTTGTTAAGTCCCTCATTAACAACTTTAAATACAGATTTAAAGAGAAGTGAGGGTAATAAATTACATCAGCCTGATACATTTGGGCAGCACACCTCACTCTCAACAAGGGAGATAAGGAATTAAGGTAAGGAGAAGGGAATTCCCTTAAATTTGATTCTCAGTTCAGAAACAAAAGTTTATGAGCAAAATATAGAGGAAGAAAAACTTTCCTGCCTTCTCACCCTCAAATCCAAGGGATTGTGACTCACAAGACACAAAAGCCAAGGTTAATCACAAAAATGTCCAAAAATATACAAACATTTGTGATGCCACGAGGGACATCCCGTGCTGAGTCTCCCCTGCCCTGCCTGCAGCAGGCTCCTTACAACTCCTTTTAGTTCCCACTCCAATATATCTTTAAGTGACAGAAAAACTCAAAGCACTGACTACTTTCAAGAAGGTTTATTACTCTCCTTCTGCACATATGTGCACGGAGACAGAAAGTTCTCCCTAAAATCGAGGAGAATACAAATCATGTACAGGTCAAGAAGGAGCCAACACAGTGAGTGATCAGACAACTCTTGATGAAACCAATATGCTGTTACATAAATCAGGACCAGAGCTTAAACACGACTGAAGGATGAACTTGTAAGTGGGTCACCTTATGCAGAGCATTATGAAATTAGTTAGCATTCTGCAGCGGCTCACCATCCAACAGCTTTACATGATGAATAGGAATGAAGCCTGATTTATTGAAAAAACAAATTAAAATGGGAACAGCAATATCTCCTGCCCGCTCTGCTGTGGAGCACACGGGGCCACGGCTGCTGCTGCCTTTGATCACTCCCCAGCAGCTGCACACAGTGACTTTGAACACTCCCAGAGTTGTGGCTTTGATTGCAGGCAGAGCCAGGAGTGTGGCTATTTAAAGAACGTGGTCAATATTCACGGGATGTCCCTCCCAACATTGCAACACCTCCCACCTGCCCTTGGCACCTCAGGTAAACTCTGAAGATTGTGTTTATTTCTAGTGGTTAATGGAGAGGAGGGAGAGGAGGATGACCCAGGACAGACATCCCAAATCCAGTCACACCAGTAACCCCTCCTGGCACCACCCAGAGCCCAGTAAAGCAGAGGTGTCAGAGCACTGCAGGACATGCCCTCTGCCCAAACACTGCTGGACCTGGGATGTGCCTCTGGGTGCCAAATTCATTTATTAGTATTGGTACAGTAAAAATAAAACATTTAATCCAAGAATTTCTATTAACAATTTGGATGTTTTCTCATAACGTTTTCCCATGGCTTTAAGCTGAAAGAGGGCTGACTTAGATGAGATATATTCACAAAATTCTTCCCTGTGAAGGGGCTGAGGCTGACAAACAGCCCCTCAATAACTGGGTGGTTGAGGCAGCCAAGCCTGAACTAACTCTGTGCCTTGGTGGCTACAAGGACAGAGAGAGGAAGACTTTGTATCTTGGAAATTTCACTCTACCAAGGTTACAAACAACAACAACAACAATTTACAGAAAGACCAGCAGAAAACACAGGCTCTAGAAAGGCCAAGCACTTTCTGAAAGATCTGGTTGTGAGGCAGTGATGGCCATGACCTGGCTGTCACACCTGCAGAGCCCAGACAGGAGGAGTTCCCCTGTGATGAAGATGTGCTGAAGGAAAAGCCTTTTTTTAAAATGAACCACACTCAAGAAATACCTTTTATGAGAGTAATTACTACTTGCTGACAGACTTGATTTTTGTCTTTTCAAGCTTTTTAACTAAGTTTCCACTGCACTTCAGAGAAAAAAACCCAAATGAAAGGAGCATTTCCAGTAAAGCTTTTTGTGCATGCTGTGCATACACTGAAGGGGTGTCACCAAATGATTGTTTCAGTTTAGGTCAGGATGCCTAACACCTTCACACATATGAATCAACCACATGCCAGCTCCCAGAGATACTGTATTTTAAGAGGTGTGATCTTGCAAGTTGCGCTCGAGCAGGTAACGGGTGGTGATAATTATGACAGAAATCCTAAAAATCTTATTTACAGATATAGCCTCAAAGCAGAAAGTGGAGAAATCTCCCTTTTTAAAACGGAAACCGAGTGGCCATTTTAGAGCACCGTCTGCTGGGGTCCTGGCTTGTGTACAGACACCATGGAACCACAGGCTGCTGAAAGAGCAAGTGTGGAGGAACAGCCAACCTCCACACTCCCGTGGGATTCTGAGGAACAGAGCTTTAAACATAGCCCTGACACTGCAGCATCTGACACCAGCCATCCCTGAGGATCCATCACCATCACACCGGGGTCTGGGAGCTCCTAAAATCCTACTGCAGGCAGGGAGCTGTGTCCCATGAGGAACCAGTACTGTCCCAGTATGGAAAAGCTGCCTGGGAGGTACTGGAGACACAGGCAGAGAGGGATTTGTGATGGAGGGACAGGACAAGGGGGAACGGCTTCCCACTGCCAGAGGGCAGGGCTAGATGGGATTTTGGGAAGAAATTCTTCCCTGGGAAGGTGGGGAAGCTCCAGCACAGGGTGCCCAGAGCAGCTGTGGCTGCCCCTGGATCCCTGGCAGTGCCCAAGGCCAGGCTGGAGCACTCTGGGCTAGTGGAAGGTGTCCCTGCTCATGGCAGGGAGTTGGAATTAGATGATATTTAAGGTCCCTTCCAACCCAAAGCATTCTGGCATTCTTAGAGTGCTAAACTCATTTCAACCTTGTGTTGTTAATGTCTGTTAAGTCATTAACATGGACGGGAGCCATGGCAGGGAGGGCCACAGCAGCCTGTGAGCTTTGCCCCATGGACTCAGGCTCAGCAAAGAGTTTGACAAGTGCCCAGAGCTGAGGGAAGGCCAGCAGATCTCCAGAGCACAGCAGGCTCCTGAGCAAACGAACCACGCCGAGATAATGGGATGTAATTAATTAATTACACAGCCACAGAAGGAAACCCAGACCCACCCCACCTGACAAGCACGAGTGGCTGGCAGGACTGATACTGTGAGCAAGGACATCACCACAGAGCTCTGCAGCATTTTTTAAGGAGGGAGCAACCACCTCCTGCACACACTGATTGTTTCAAGGGGATGGAAGGAGAGCCCAGCACTGCTCCTGGTATCCAGATTAAAGCACCACAGAGCAGATCAACACCAGCCACCAGGAAAGCTGGGGAGTAACTTCCTTTCCTCTCCATCACACAACTCTGCTCCTAAGGAATTCCAGCCTGAATCCTCGTGCACAGCAGGACAAACCCCTTCCACCTCTGCCCCTCCAGGGTATCCCCTCTGGGCCAAGGGAGGTCAGTAAGCAAATCCCATCATCACCTATGACTTCATCTCCTGGCTCACACCACACACAGGCAGAGCTGCAAATCCAGAGATGGATTTCTCTGGAAAAGAAACCCAAGGCCAAGTTTTGGTTGCAGCACCTTGACCAGACACAGCCCTGCACCCCCAGCAGCCCCTCGAGCTCCCTCACTGACTCAGCCTGTCTTTAATGTGTTTTTCCTGAGAAAACAATCCTGTCTTTCTTGAGCAAGTGTCAGAGATGATAAACTACCTCTGTCTATGGTCTGTTCCAGTGGTTAACAACTGTTAGAAACATGTGGTTAAGGTCTTTTTTATGCCACTAATTTCCAGTCACTGATATTTTTTTAAGTTGGTGTTTCTTCTGTAGTTATTCCCAGGAACTTGGTCTCCTTTTCCCTTCTGACTATTTACATACTCTGTGAAATGTTTACCTAACGTTTTGTGCTAAACTGAAAATACCATTTTTGCTTGCTGACTTTTCATTCAGCATTAATATAATTTTCTGTGGTGGGTATTTTTTGGCATGTTCTTAAATATTGCAAATCATTAACAAGCTGGATCGTAGAACCACATTAAAAGAAAATAAATCAGCAATGAACAGGCACATTTCCTGGCATTAGCATTTAATTCTAAGACCTTTGACATATGCAATATATGAAATTTCTAATGAGGAGTGGAAGAGAAGCTCAGCTAACTCCCCAGCAGTTCAGGGGGTTGGGATTATGGAGGCAGGATAACCACAGGGTTAGGGACAAATGCTCCTTAACAAGTCTCTCATACCAGGAGTCAGTAACAAATTGGATTTTAGCCAGCAGAACTGACATCTGTCCTGTGGAGAGTGAAACCATACAGCACAGCAGTCTGGTACCTTTGTGTAAGGTGTACAGAGGACAGACCCAGGTTACTAATCCACTAGAAATGGAACTAATCCACAGTAAATTTAATGATGAGTGAGCTTGTGCCCAGTGTAGGACTGTTAAATGGGGAAAAAAAAGTCAGGCAGCAGCTGAAGGCAGCTGAATTCTACCTCCTGCCTCTGGAAGCCTTGCCAGTTTGGGCCGTGTGTGCTGTCCCCTTCACTGGGAACACCTTTCCCTGCCCTGTCACCTGGCTGTGCCCACAAGTCACAACTGCTCTGCCAGCCAAGGAAAGGAACAACAGTTGGATTGTTTCTCACAGCTCCGTTTTCCATCCCAGACTCGTTCCAGGCTGGGCTGTCTGACTGAGAGGCAGCAGCAAAACCCAGCAGCGAGCCCTGGGTTTGAGCAGCTCTGCTCAGCTGTGTCCCCACGAGGGCTGGCCTTGGCTGCAGGAGCCACTCCGAGGTTGCCATCAGCCCATGGAGCTGTTTCATCAGCCACCCAGCCCTGCCACACCTTCCAGCACATCCCCAAGAATTAGAACTCCCCAGCAAAACAAGCTCTTGATGACCAAGGAATCAGGGGAAGCAAAGTCTCAGCAAACACCTCACTAATTAAAGCAAACTGCTGTCGTCTCCCTCCCCATTTCTCTGATGCCAGTGAACAGAAATACCCTGAGAC